GAGGTGGCTCAGGGAAAGAGCCTTATATAGTTTCCCATCATCAACTTCTTGCTCATGCTGCAGCTGTGCAAGTGTACAAGAAAAAGTATCAGGTTCTTTATAATCTTGACAATATATAACTTTTAATTAAAAAGCTTTAAAGTTTATTGAGCTTCAACATTAGTGTGAAGGTCTAATTACTTTGATCATCTCTATATGTCTAACATACAAAACACTTTCCACAGGTATCTCAAAAAGGAATAATCGGTATAACCCTTGTGACTAATTGGTTCGAGCCACTTTCAGATAACAAATTAGATAAAGATGCTGCTCAACGAGCAATTGATTTCATGTTTGGATGGTAAATGATAATTTTGTATTAAAATATCATCGATCTCCAAATAAATATAGATTAGCTAGAGTAATTAATTAAGGTGAATCCAGTAGTTATTATGTGTTATACATGTTTCCTTTGCTTTTAGGTTAAAGAGAAAAAAGTTCTGTAAAAAAAAAAGGTTAAAGCGAAAAAAAAAATTATACTATTTTAGTTTGTATCACTTTAGGTTATAATATAAAAGGTCTACTTTGAGTTTTTTTAACTAGAAAAGTTATTGTTAAATAAGTGTTTTTCTCTCTTCTTTTTAACCTTTTAATTGGGTCACTCACAAATGACTAAATTATATCTTTTCAGTGCTAATGACTTATAATTATAATTATAATCATTGGTCTCACAATAAGCAGAATTATAAGTTAGGGCCACTAAGCCCACATGTGTTATTTTTGACACATCTAGTATATAATCCTTTTCCGTATGTTGTTCCTCACAATTTATTTTTTATTTAATTAAAGGTTGTTCTACATGTGGGGTACTTTTCAAACATCTTATATACCTTCCTTTCCTTCTTTTTGTGTAAAGCAAACACTAAAAATAAATAAATTTACATATACTATAAATACAATATATATTAATATATTTTTTATAAATAAAATATAATAATACACAATTATATAATTAAAATTTATTTAAAATTAACATTAAAATTATGTGTATATTTCAAAACACCATATACATATAACAGTGACAAGCATAACTAAATAACAATTCAATAATATATAAAAAGATGTGATCCTAGTTAAGAGCACAAGTTAATATAGGATCTCAAATTGGGTATTTTCATTTGTAACAATGATTATAGGTTCATGGGACCATTGACATCAGGAGAGTATCCACAAAGCATGCGTTCTTTGGTTGGAAAGCGTTTGCCAAAGTTCTCTATACAACAAGTCAAACTTATCAACGGTTCATTTGATTTTCTTGGACTAAATTATTACACCTCTAACTATGCTTCCAATGCACCCAAGCTAAGTAACGGAAAACCTAATTATGTTACAGATTCTAATGCGAATCTTACAAGTAAGGATTCCTTTATCTATCACTTCTCTAAATTGTACATATATTGAATTTGATAATATCGTATTTTTTGTTTTTGTTTTTTTGGGAGTAGCTGAACGAAATGGGATTCCTATAGGTCCAGTGGTATGTTCATATTACCATGTCAAACTTTAATAATAATAATTATTATTATTATATAACCTCATTTGTAATTATATTTGTAGGCCGCTTCCAACTGGTTATATGTTTATCCTAGAGGAATTAAAGAATTGTTGCTCTATATTAAAGAAAAGTACAACAATCCTTTAATTTACATCACTGAAAATGGTAAGTGATAACTACATTAAACATCTATTTATTATCCTAAGACTATTGTAAATAAATTTATAGACAAAATTATAGGGAATATGATAATTTTATCATAAAGTTGTATATTATTAGCATGTAATTTTTCTTCTAACATATTAATGTATACTACATTTAATTTGTAGGTATTGATGAGTTCAATGATCCAACATTATCACTTGAGGAAGCCCTTCTAGATACTTTTAGAATAGATTATCATTTTCGTCATCTCTTTTATCTTCATTCAGCAATTAGGTAATAATATCGATGATTTTTTGTTGCATGTTTGAAAAGTATTTTATTTATGAATCTAATTTATATTTATTTTGTTGACTTTACAAGGAATGGCGCAAACATAAAAGGATATTTTGCATGGTCATTGTTAGACAACTTTGAATGGAACAGTGGTTACACAGTGCGATTTGGAATAAACTTTGTGGATTACAAAAATGGTTTGAAGCGACATCAAAAACTTTCTGCAAATTGGTTCAAAAAATTTCTTAAAAAATATTAGAATTTATATACTTTATGGTTGTAATAAAACATATGAATTATTACATGTTTGTCATTTCTCATGAAGGAAATGTTGGAAAATATTATGTGGCTCGTATAAGAATTTATGTACGGTTTAATTATTTCATTAATTTAATTAATTGTTTCATATTTAGGAGTTATATATTATAATAATTAGTCATCAAAAGTTATAATAATCATGTTTTTATTGATTCTTAATAGAAAAATTAATTAATGAAGAACTATTATGATTATAAGACAAAGAATCCTTAGTCTGGCATGTAGTGTTCTATTGTCCATTAAATTTAAGGAAGGATAAAGACTAAGGAGTTCTTTTTATTTCTCTAAATATTTAAATACTTTGCTACATATTTAATAGTTTGATAACAATATTGACTACAAAAGATATGTTTTCGTTATTATAAGTTAAGACTTTATATTTTCTTACGCAAAATAATAGTTCCTAAATTATTTTATGACAAATTGAATAAGAAGTTTATTATATATACATATAAAGGTTACCCGTTTAGGGTATAAACTTTGTTTAGATGATCTAACATTGTTTTACTATAACTAAGATGAGTGTGTAATTTGAAATGATGAAGTTTTTTAACCTTTCAAACCATCTAGAAACTTAATGTATATTTTTTAGAATTTATTTGACATTTATATAATTCTTATTTATTTAAAAAATTATTTTAAATGAAACTTAATTAATATAATTTTGTAATTATTACTATATATAGAAATTTTTACTTTTTTTTATATTATTTTACAAAAAAAATTAATTTTTGAGTGGATATGATACGAATACGAGTGTACTTAATACCGGACAAGGAAGAATATATAGAAATACAAATTTCATACCTGATGAATGTAGAAATAAAAATTAGTAAGAGATACAGGAATGAAAATGAAAAAAAGATATTGAAACTCACATTCGTTCCACCTTGTTGTCATCCCTAACAAAAATAGTCTATTTACCTCGCCTCTATTTTATGTCTTGGCACATGAAATAGTTGAACATCGTTATTTAAATGAGTTTAATCTTTTTGTGGGGTCATAAAAATGGTAGAAGGAAGTTGCATATTGTTAATTAAATGAGGTCCTATCTATAGTCTATAGATAATTGGTACCTTGTACTACTATTGGCTTTTATCTTTTCTCTTTAGCTTATTAAATTCCTGTTTATTTTATCTTAATTCTTTTTTATTTATTTATGGTGTTTATGTTGGGCTCATCTAAATTAGTTTAGTGTTTCATGTTGGATTAGCACAAGTTCATTCTTTATTTAATTATGTAACGATTCAATATGATTTCTACACTTAACATAATTACTTACTAGTAGTGAAAAATAATTACTACCTAACGTTATCATACAAATAGCTCATGAATATATAAGCAATAATATATATATATACAAAAATTTACATCAACACTTGAAATACTAACCAAGTATATATGTATATACAATAATCTTAAAAAAAAACAACCATAATGTAACTTAGGTTGATGGTCGCAGTCCAACCACCAAGAAACATATAAGGGTAAGTTAGATTCCAAAAGAGTAAACATAAACAAGTATAGATAAAATACAAATATACCATCAACAAAACTTATAAACCACCTAATATGCATCTCATGGCTTACATCATACAACACCCAACATGGCATCAACAAGTTTGAAAGCAAACAATTCAAGCAATTCAAACTTACACCACAACCATGTCATACAACCATATAAACACCAAATCATATGAACAAGCATATCACACCACACCATATACATACACATAAACTAATATGTCATTACGCATTCACATACAGAAATCTCCTACAACATGATGAATAGTTCAAGTGACTTGATCTTACCAAACCAACACAACATTTTTACACCTGCTAGGTCAACAACCAAATTGGAATAACAATCTCTAACAACATGATTCAGCGAATGTCTCTACTTAAAGTATGAATGATTTTATACGTTGATTTGAATTAATGAAACAAAATATCAAATGGTATTTAAATTTGTTAAAATTTGCAAACTTGATCTATGCATTAAGAACTTTAAATTCAACTGTTGAATAGTTGAAATTTGATGTAGAACATGAGTTATTGAACAAAGTAAGTTTAGATAGACTCATTCCTAGAGTAAACAGATATCTCCTCTTTCTCTCTCTCTCTCTCACACACACACACATACACACACGCACACACACACACACATATATATATATATAGAGAGAGAGAGAGACAAGGGATTCACTTACTCCAAGAGTAAGTTTAGGTAAACTTACACCACTAAAAAACTTATATCTTATATCAAATATTTAACGATTCAACCATTAGATTAAAAGTTCTTAATACATGGATCAAGTTTACAAATTTTTAAAAAAATTAAAAATTATTTGTTTCATTATATAAATTCAAATCAATGTATAAAATATTTTTATGATCAATTAACAATTTGAATTAATGAAAATGAAGTATCATATAATTTTAATTTTTTTTAACAATTTGTAGACTTGTTTTGTACATTAAGAACTTTTAATTTAACAATTAGATCGTTAAATTTTGATATAAAATATGAGTTATCAAAGAGAGTAAGTTTCAGTAGACTTACTCTTGGAGTAAGTGAATCCTTTCTCTCTTTTATGATCAACTTACTTTATTATTTGATACTTTATTTCATTAATTCAAATTAACATATAAAATATTTTTGCGATTATCCATTTATTTGAATTAATAAAATATAGTATTAAAGAGTTTTCAATATTTTAAAAATTTTGTAAACTTGATCTATATATTAAGAATTTTTAAAACATAAATAAGAGTAAAATAAATTTAAATAAACTTATTCTTAAAATAAATAAATGAAATACAGGCACACACGTATACTTGTAGTTTGTTTAACTACAAACTTATTCTTACATGCACGTGTGTACACCTTCATTTTATTATAAGTCTCGTATACTTTTTTAACTACAAACTAATAAGGACGGATTTATCATTGAAATAGTATAATATAAAAATAAAAATAAAACTTGGTAGGAACAATGTGTTGTTTCATTTATTATTAAGGAATTGTTTGTGCTAAGCAGAGAAATATCACCTAAAACAAAATAAAATAAATAACGAAGAGAAAGAAAGAATGTAGTAAATAAGAGATGTAATAAAAAAGAAAAATGATTCATGCATATTCATATACAATAATATAAGTTCACACATAAACCTTAATGAAATAAGATAATTTAAAAAAAAATTTCTAAATATTTTTTATATCTTAATTAAAATATTTTAAATAATCAACCATGAAGATAAAGAAAAAATAGACAAACATGTAACTGTTAGAATTAATTTGACAAGACTTTTTAAAAATATTTTAAATGTAAATAATATGATTTTTTATTACAAATTTATTTATATTATTTATACTGTTATATATATATATATATATATTGTTTTTTAATTATATTATAAATATATTGACATATCAAATCTAACAAACTTTTTATAAATTTAAATTAAATCTTTTTAAATAAATAAATATTTGTAAAAACTTAAATCTAATACTTTATTAAATAAGTCAAATTAAGATGAATTTTAAATAACTTTACTATTCACTCATTATTTAAAATCTGACATATTCTAACCTTATATTCATAAGTCTAAAACTATTATATCATACACTAATAGTAATATGACTACCTTATTGTTCGAAAAGTCCCGAATGCATCCAACTGAAAATAACTATAAATTAAGCATGTGCCAATTAAATTATAACTCTTATGCTCAATCACACAAACCTTATCTTATATATTTTAATGCAATTTGAAAGTTTAAGGGAAATATCTGTAAATCATTGTCTATTTTGATTTTAGGATATACTCTTATTTATTTATTATTATTATATGGGTATGTATGTGTGTGAATAGAAATAATAAAAATTATATGATTTTATGTTTATAATTATTTTTTCTTAAGGAAAAATTTCCAATGTGAATGAATATAATGTGACACTTTTGCTATTAATTACTGATATCTGTCATTTGAATGATCCTAAAATTATTATTTTAAACTCTAATAAATTAACGATTATTGGTGATATAATTAATAATAAGAAATTAAATTGTTCGACATACCAGATTAGGGATGACAAAAATACCCGCACCTGCGAGTATCTGTGGATAAAATCCGCTACGGATAATAAATGGATAGGCTAATTGGGTACCCGCGGATAATGGGGACGGATAATTTTTTACCCGTTTATAAATGGGGCGGGGGCGGGTATGATGATATCCATACCCGCGGGTACCTCCATACCCGTGGGTACCCGTTTAATATTATTTCTTAAATATCCTAATTATCCTTGTACCACATAACCCTAAAACTACACTCTCTCATCTTATTTTCTTACAAAAGTGAGGGTGATGAAGTTACCGACATGTGTTAAGCATGTTATAAAATTATGTTAGATGTAATTTGATTAATTTTCTAGCTTTGATTGGACCAATAAGATTTATGTATTTTAAGTTATTTACTTTCATTTGCAATTATGAGATTGAATTATTGTAGCTTTGGGATGAGACTTTAACTTATTTGTGAGATTGATATATTTTAAGTTATTGATTATCTTGAATTTTTATTATTATTTCGACAAAATTAACGTTAAATAAAAGTTCAAAGTTAACATTAAATTTTTATTTTTAATATTTTATTGACATTAAAATATAAACTTAAAATTATTTGTAATATAATTTTTTTAATTTCTTAAAAAATTTATAAATATTCATGGATATCCGTGAATATCCGTGGGTATTCACGAAATTCATGAATACCCGCTTAATGAATACTCGCGCGGATATGGGGTGGGTATAGGACCAATTTTCATTCAGCGGGGCGGGAGCGGGTTTACTATTACCCGCCCCCATGGGGCCTCATTGCCATCACTATACCAGATGATTTTTATAAAATCATTCTATATGAACTTCATATTTATATATAATATAATGCTAAAAAATATGTTATATAAAATACTGTTTATCCAGTTAAAATTTTTATTATTAATATGTAACTGTAAAATT